GTGTGTGTGTGTGTGTGTGTGTGTGTGTGTGTGTGTGTGTGTGTGTGTGTGTGTGCATGTGGAGGCAAAATGTCAACCCTAGATGTTGTTCCCCAGGAGCAAGCCACACTTTTTGGGACAGTGTTAGGTTAGGCAAAGTCCTGGGGATGTCTCCCAGAGCTGGAGTTACAAACATGTACCTTCACATTTGGCTTTTTATGTGGGTTCTGGGGACTGAACTCGGGTTGTAAATGAGCCACCTCCCTAGTCCCTCTAGCCTGTCCTTCGCCAGAGGCTGTCCCGTCTCAGGGCCTGGTGGAAATGTCTGCTGTGATGGGAGTAGAGGTGGGAACTCAGGGACAGGGCAGTCAATGCCAGGCCTTCCCGGAAGCCCACTGGTCAGGCTCATCGAGCTCTGGGTACTTAGCTTCCTGTGGTATTTTAGGGAGGAGGCTAGGCTTGTCAGCAGCAGAGACCAGGGGAGACCTGGGGGAGACCCAGGGGAGACCCAGGGGAGACCCAGGGGTACTTACAAATACGAAGAAGTTGAAAACAAACATCAGGTACTTCATGCAGCTCAGACAGTCGCCCTCCATGGTGTTCGGCCTAGAAAACACAAGGACACTCAGTTCTTCACCTGGAGACACTCAGATTCTCACAGTTGGAGCCCAGCCCAGCCCCACCCAGGAGCCCCAGTCCCAACTCCTCTCGAAAGGGTGAAGATTGGCTCCTTGTTGGGTCAGCACTGGGTGAGGACAGCTGGAACTTTAATCTGGAACTTTAATTCTTATTCTCTAGTTCCCTGGCTCTGGTCTGCCATCGTCCTCTGAAGTGCATACCACATACCACACCACACACAGACACACATTACACACTCCATATGTTTTACACTATATATGTATATATATAACACATACACACACACTATTACACTTCATATATTACATACACATACACACACAATTACACTCCATATATCACATACACACTACACACACACTATTACATTCCATATATTATATACGTACACTACACACACACACACACACTATTACACTCCATATAATACATATACACACTACACACACACATACACACACACTATTACACTCCATATATTATATACACACACTACACACACACACTATTGTACTCCACATATTATGTACACACACTACACACATACACTATTACACTCCACATATTATGTACACACACATACACGCACACTATTACATTCCATATATTATGTACACACACACACACACACACACACACACACACACACACACACAAATAGGTGCCAAGAAAGAGACTGTCCATGGAGTGTAAGGTCCTTTGTCGTGGTCCTCATTCCACTGAGCCCCAGAATATGGAGAGCAGCTATAATGAAGGCCATGAGGACAGATTACCTCTACCACCCTCAAGGCTGGCCAGATCACACAGTCTCTGTGGGTTTTGGCTTTAGAGTCTAGACCCCAAATGGCCCCGAAATACTAGGCTCCCTGGAGACTTGCAAAGATGGGGGATTAAAAAGCTGAACCCTTGCAGGGTTCCCCCTCCATACCTAGCTGAAGGCTCCATCCTGTCAGCTCCTCCCTCTTGCTCAGACACTCCCTAAACCCCAGGGACCTGCGGCAGCATGGAGGGAGAAGGGGGCAGTCTACAGGATAGGCACTGGGAGTATGGCTGAGGTCAGGAGTTCTCTAACTGGGTTCCCTGAGGCCAGACAAACCCTGCTTATCTTCAGTATTCTCCACCCCTACCTGGACCCGGGACTCAGCCCTTCATCTCCAGCAGGCTTAGAGCACAATGTCTTAGATTGGAAGCTCCCTGGGGAGGAAATCCTGTTTTCAGATTGCTTGGGAGAATGATGGCTGTTTGATAAAGGAAGGCCATTACGTAGATAAAGTCCTTCAATCCTGGCCTAGAAGCATGGAAGCAGGGCCAGTGTTCAGGGCCGACCTGACCTGGTGTGAACCCAACTCTCTCACTAGGGGTATAGGACAGGGGAAGTGTAGTAGAGAGCAGGCTGGGAGTCTCCTCGTAATGTCCTTCCTCAAGACAACCCTAGGAGACAGGAGCGACAGCCTGGACCTGTTGCCCAGAGAGCCCTCATCCAAGCCTCTGAGGGTCCTAGGCTTACAGCTGCATGCCATGCAACTTTCTGCTTCAAGTAGAATAGAAGCTTGAGGCTTTGAGGGGTGCTTAGGTCTGACACAACCAAGTGCTGACTTAGGATTGGCCTGGGTACCTTACGTCACCAGCACATCACTGAAAGTCATCATTCTTCCCGAAGAGTTGAGAAGTTTCAATGCAGCCAATGACATGTAGCCAGCCAGTGATGGACCCTGCCTGGGGCAGCCCAGCACCCTGTGGGCACCACCTGCTGTGGGTGCTGTGTGGTTACTCAAAAGTACACACGGGCCTCCGGGAGACTTGCTTCCCCAAGAGCCATGGCCAGTGTGTTCACTGAGACACTTCCAGTGTGTCCAGGACAGACAGGCACAGTGGCATCAGTTAACACAACTTCGTCAGGGAGTGAATGAATGCATGGCAGAAAAGAGAAATAAAAGACAGAATGGCAGAGTCAGCAACTCAGAAACTGAAGGGGACAGATGACAGAGTGATCAAGGAGGGGCACGGGAAAGGATTCACAGACTGGACAGTCAGAGTTGGGGTCAATGTGGGGGGGGGGAGGAAGTGTCACCTGGGTAGCTCTCCGGGAGTCAGCAGGACGAAGTCTCCTAGTCAGAGGGACTGAGGTGCGTCTCTCACCAGCCCAGCTTGTCCTGGAAGAGAAAGATGACCGTTATATGATATTGGGCACTGAGGTACAATGAACGCAGGGCTCCAGATGAGCACACAGGTGATGGCTTACTAACTGGCCATGGCTCTAATGAAAAGCTGTCAAGACGTGAGGCCATGCCGGCTGGGGAGGGCTGCTGCTCTGGTTATCTCCTTCCTACACAGCTGTCCCCAGTACCCTGCTGGCTGCACACGAGCCATGTCTTCATGTGGGTTCTGCCATGGTCTTCATCAGTGCTGCCCTGAGGTGGCAGGCTTGGGTGGCCACCCATCTGATGCCACCTGGGCATCTATCACACCTCTGCAGCAGGGCCATGCCACCATGTCCTTCCCAGCAACCACAGGCTGCCATCAGGGAGAAGTCTGCTGCAGGGAGCCTTTCTTGGTTCTGCATGAAGATTGGCTGGAAGGTTCCTCTAGAGAGCCCATTCCTAGCAGTGCAGAGGAAGCTGGGTTTACTCTGTGGAGGCTTGTGTTGATCACCCATGGGGGGCGTTCTACAGCCCAGACCTACTTACAGACGGTGTTAGAGAACAGACCCAGGAGGAGGTCTGTACTCCGCCAGTGGAGCTGGGGGTTGAGAGTTCTTCCCAGGAGAGATGGGAGGATTTTAAGGTCTTCAAACACCTGCTCAGATGCTCTTCCTCAAGTGAAAGCCCACTTGGGGCCAGTGAAGTATATTCTGGGTGACATATTCTCCTTTTTCCTACCATCCCTTCTTTTATTCATCCACTAGTCAACTGATTCATCTGTCTACCCATCCATCCATCCATCCATTCATCCATCCATCAGTCCATCTGTCCATCCACCATCCACCTATTTATCCATCCATCCATCCACCCACCCATCCATCCACAGTCCACCTATCCATCCATCCATAGTCCACCTATCCATCCATCTACCTATCCACCTACCCTCCCATCATCCAACTACCCACCCACCCATCCACTCACACTTCCACAGGGATACTTCACTGGACAAGATGAAGCCACCTGACTTGTCACAGCTCTGGGGTCATTCAAGAGGTGTGACTCTGCAGCTAATCCATACTTGGTCATGGGTCTTAGAGGAGCAGGACTGGGTCATAGTTTCCCAAGTGCTCCTCTTCCCTTGCCCGATCCCAGCCCTGGTCCAGCACCATCACACCTGTCTATCACCCCAGGCCACGGTCCTAATTGTGCTGTCCGTCATTTTCCTCCGAATACAACTGCTGGGGGCAAGGAATGTGGGCTGCACAGGAGCCAGCCACCTAGTGTCTAGGAGGAGTGGGTGGCCAGCACTTACCTCCTCGCCAAGGAGCACCCACCACATACATGCTGTCTGCTGGCACACAGGGCTCCCCATCTTTGAGGCTGAACCCCACCTGTTGCCCCATTCCTCCTCTCTGTCCTCCTGGGGAGCCTGTCCCACAGTCTGGCTCCTATCTGCCTAGAAAATGTGGCTCCAATCATTTCATCACTGCTTCTTAGAGTCTGGGACAGCCCCTGCCCCTGCCTTTGGGACCTTGGGACAGTCACTCTGAGAACCGCAATGTCAGTTTTGAAAACAAACTGGGGAGAAAGAATCAATAGTAGAGGAGAGAGAAGACATGGGAGGCTGAGGCTCTGTGGCTCTCAGTGTTATCACACATCAGAAGTAAATGGATGTCTGACCCAGATCACTGGTTATGTGTGGAGCAGGGTGTGGCGAGGACCGTGGATGCAGCGCATGGTCGGCATGGGTACAAATGGCTTTTCCCTAAGTGGCCCCACATTCAAATTAATTGTTCCAATACTGTGCCAATTAATAGTAACTATGAGATGGAGCGTTTATCAAGTGCCTGGCTCGGTGCGGCCCTCTCCTGTGTTCTCTTATTCAATATTTACCTAGGATATGGGTCTCAGTATCCCCTCTTACAAGTAAGGAAACTGAATTAGAGATGATAACTAAGTTGCCTGAGTTCACCGATCTGCTTAGTAAGATCTTTCTGATCCAGACATGGGTCATTTAACTGGAAACCAGAGCTCCTGGCAAAATAGTGTCCATGGGACATGAAGGCAGAGAAAGCCCCGAGAGAGGAAGAGCCGCGCCTTGGTCCCCAACATCCCTGACCTGAGCTGAGTAGCCAAGCACAGAGCCTGGGAAAGATGCTCTTTTCCTCCCCTGAGCCAGCTGGAGGCTGTAGGGGCAGGACCCAGCTCTACCATCCCCTGACAGATGGCAGACACCCTTAGGCCCAGAGAGGGCAGGGATGGGGCTGAGGTTAGGAAGCACCCTGGGGCTTTCCTCAGCAGGCTCCTGCCTGGGCCAGACAGCTTTATTAATCTTGCCCCTCTCATGGCCCCAGATGGCAGCTTGGCCCATCTGCAGGGATATGGGGCTGGGAGGGGTGCTCTGAGTAAGAATAGCTGGGTTCATAAATCACTCCTTTTGCCTTCACTGCCCCAAGAGCAGGATGCAGAGACCCCATCTGAGGAAGCACACCCAGGCCCAGCTTATCCTGTATACATCTGTGCCAGCAGAGGGTGCTGTGGTCCAGGGCAGAGCCATTCCATTGCTGGGTCCCAGAGCAACCAGTGTTCAGATTCTACTCCAACAAGCATGTGTGTGTGTGTGTGTGTGTGTGTGTGTGTGTGTGTGTGTGTGTGTGTGTGTGTTCCTGTCTCCTCTCCTCTGGAGGAGCCTGCACCCCCTCACCTGGAACATGAAGACACTCAGCTCCAACTCCCTATGCCCTGCCCATGATCACTGCCAGGATGGAAGAGCTTGATTAGCTGCAAAGATCTGAACACCCAGCACATTCATTGCTTCTCCTCTCTTCTCCCAGTACCTACTGGAGCCAACCATGGGCTTGGTCCAATGGAGGCCAGTGGCTGTATTCTCCCTCACTGCCCCCACCACCGCTCAAGTCTAGTGAAGATCAATAACCAATCCTCAGAGAACGGTGTTAACAGCAGCATCTTCTGAGTGTCCTGGACATGCCAGGATGGACACAGAATAATGTGCTCCAGCCCAGTGTGTCTTGAGGGGACCTGGAGGTTTTCAGGGGGCAGGGAGAGACAGTGAAAGGACTGACTTTTGGAAGCTGATGACGATGATGCCAGGGTCTGTAAGCTCACTTGATCCTCAGCAAAAAACCCAGCAAAGTGCATGATCTTGTCACTAACTGGATGAAGCCACGAAGCCGGCAAGTGGCTAGAAGGTCCCAGAACTGGAAAAACCATACGCAGCCGAGCGGGGCCCTGAAACCCACACTAACACGTAAAGCACTTGTGGGAACAGCACCAGTCTTGGCCATCAAGTTCTGGCTAGGGGGTGGGGAGGGCTCTTTTGCTCACTGACTGTGCCTCTGGGCCTCTTCCCAAGACAGACGGGCTGGGCTCATAAACAAGCAATTGGCCCGAAATCCTGGGGAGTCTGCCCATGGCACAGGGCAGACACAGGGAAGGGGGGGTGGGTGGTGAAAGCCTAATTAGGCTCCAGAGGGGCGGTGCCTGAGGGGAGGGCTGCTGTAGTGAAACTGAATTCAAAGGACAGCCTTTCCTGCTGGGTGCTCAGTGAGCCGTGAATGTCCGGGGGGGCCATGGGACAAGGCAGCAGCTGGGAGGCCCCATCGAACTTGTGAGTTCAGCCAGGTTTGGGGCTCTGCCATCACCCCTGTGGTGATGCATTCAGACCCTTCCTGGGGTCCCACCCACCAGGGAATTCTCAAAGACAGCAACTTGGTGGGGACTGTCTTCCCAGTTCTCATTTCACAAGGCACGCCCAGAACCCCAAGCCCCGACAGCCTGCTGCCCGGCCCTTTACCCTGCATCCTCCTCAGAACTGTACTTTGCCTTGGGCTGACACTCCAAAGCACTTGGCACACTGTCCTCGCTGGGTCCTCCACGCTGGGAGGTGGCATTCCTGTGTTTCAGATGAGGACATGGCTCATCAGCCCAAACACACTAGAGGTCGGAGGAACTACTGAGACGAAGTTCTCTTTCCCAGGCTAAGTCCTCCAGGGAGGTGGCTCCTGGGACAGACAGACAGCCTGCTGAACTCCCTGTAGTCCTAAGGGCTGGGCTTCACGTCAGCTGCAGAAGCCCAGGTCCCAGGCCTTGCTCAGCAGGTCCTCTCTGTCTCATAGTGGCTGCGCCTCGCCTCACCCTCATCTGCTCTCCCTTCCTACCTTTCATCCCTCAGAGCCTGGTTGGAACGCAACCCTTTGAAAGGCTTAGTGATCCATCCCAAAATACTCAGGGCTGTTGCTGGGGCAACCTGGCCCATCACACATCCAAGACTGAAATGTTGAATGGGTTCACGGGTATTAAGAGGGCCTGGGAACTGGGAGGGCAGGGGCACAGGTCTGAGTGGGAGGGAGGGGGTAGGGGACCCCAGGAATTCCTAATGGAGCTGCCCCTAACCCCCCTTCCCCACAGGAAAAGGCAAGAAGGCTCCTGGTCATTGTTTGCTGTGACTAAGTGTCTGACAGGCTCAAACAGGTGACATGGAGAAGTCAGGCAGAGGGAGAGACAAGGAACTGGCTGGCTGAGAGAATGTGGTGGGCTGGGCTGGGGGGTGTTTTGAAGGAACCCCCCCCCCACTTGCAGACGGACAAGGGAGACTGCATTTCCTGGTGGATGCTGGCGCTGTCTCATCTGATCTCACCATAACCCCACAGAGTAGGTTTGCCGTCATCCCTGGCTGACAGCTGAGGAGCCGACCAGAGAAGGGAAGTAACCTGCCCAAAGCCACACAGCTGCTCAGCCGCAGGCTGTGAGCCAGGGCTGCATGGCTCCTAAGCCAGTGCTCTTCCTACCCAGTCTGCCTGTCAGGAGGCATGTCAGGAAACACGGTGCCAGCCAGTCACTCACAGCAGCTAACAGGAGGCATGTGCACAGACCTCAGGTCCCAGCCCACTAACCAACCAAGGGTAGCCATTGCAGTTCCCTTTCTCAGATGGGGAAACTGAGGCCTGAATTAGCACCGTCTCTACACAGCCGATGGGTCTTAGAGTCCTTCA